ACTGGCTGCAGTTCTCCCCGCACGTTTGGCTGAGCAGTTTCTTCTTCTCCAAATAATTCCAGGAATGGGCTCCAGCTTTTTTTTCTTTTTTTCTCTCTTTTGTTTGGTTGGTTTTGTTTTGTTGTGGTTTTTCTTTTTTTTTTTTTTTCCTCTTCCTCTCCTTTCATTTTCTTCCCCCCTCCCCGGTTTTGGATTTAGTTTGTCCAGTATGGAGAAGTGCTATAGGCGGTTTTGGTAGCCTGAGACTTTTGCTGCATGGTGCTGGGTTGGTTGCGTTGGCCAGATCCACCCTAGAAGCAGGAAAAGGAGGAGACACGGGCATCAGCGCTCCCAGGACAACGAGCCCATCCGAACATCCCCAGAAGAGCTGTGCCCCTGGGGACGGCCCTGCCACCCCACACAGCGATGCTCCCCCCGAACGGATCTGCTTCTGCTCGGCCCCTGGCCACAGAGACACCAAGCAGCAGCGTGGGGACCATCCCACCGCCCCCACCAGAGACAGGTTCAGGCATGAGGACAGGAGAGGAGCGGACTGGGGACAGCAAAGGAGCTCTCTCAAGGTGAACAAAGGTGTGTTCCAGCCACAGAGGTCACGCATTCAGAAACTGGAGTCACTCCCTACTTCTGGACTCCAAGTCAGGACATGCTGCGTTCAGGGAACATTTATAGAGAGGAAACTCGTGGGCTGGTGAAACCAAATCAGAAAGCGCAGCCGACACGCAGTCTGCAAGGGGATGCTCGATTCCTCCCCCGGTTACAGCACAGGAGCTCATGTCCTGCTCTCCTGCTGCAGCCAGGGTACGGCAGCGCCTGCCTCAGCAGCACAGCTCACAGCTCACAGCCACCGCTCCACACCCCGCATCAGGACCACCTCTGCTCACAACCGGCTGGCAGGGACCTGTCTGACTCCTGTGCTCAGGCAGGGTGACCTGCAGCCATCTGCCCAGCACCACACACAGACAGCTCCAAGGTGGAGACTCCACAGCTCCCTGGGCAACCTGTGCCAGTGCTCGGTCACTCTCGCAGTACAAAAGTGTCTCCTGATGTTCAGAGGGAACCTTCTGTGTTCTGGTTTGTGCCCATCACCTCTGGTCCTGTCACTGGGCACCACTGGAAAGAGCCTGGCTCTGTCCTCTTTACACCTTCCCTTCAGGTATTTATATACATTGATGAGATTGCCCTGAGCCTTCTCTCCTCCAAGCTGAACCGTTCCAGCTCTCTCAGCCTTTCCTCACATGAGAGATGCTCTGGACCCTTCATCATCCTTGTGGCCCTTCGTTGGACTCTCCAGTCTGTCCCTGTCTCTCTTGGATGGGGGACCCCAGCACTCAACACAGGACTCCAGGTGTGGCCTCACCGGTGCTGAGCAGCGGGGAAGGATCCCCTCTCTTGACCTGTTGGCCGTATTTTCTGTAGCAGCCCAGGATACCATTGGCCTTCTTTGCAGCAAGGACACACTGGTAGCTCATGGTCAACCTGGTGTCCACCAGGACCCCCAGGGCCTTTTCTGCCGAGTTGCTTTGGCCCCAGCACATACTGGTGCGTGAGGCTGTACCTCCCCAGGGGCAGGACTTGGCACTTCCCCTTGTTGTACCGCATGAGGTTCCTGCCCCAAGCTGGTCAACAGCATCGAGCCTGTTGGTCTGCAATCGCTGTCAAGGACCTTTCCCAATGAGCAAAGCAAAAACCAGAAGGAAGCAACCCCCCATCCCAAGACCCTGCTGGGGGTGGGAGGGAGCAATCGGCCCCCAGGCACGCTGCAAAGGCAGAAAGGGCCAACTCACCTGCCCGTCGCGCTCTGGGAGTGAGGCTGCTGATGCGCAGGCAGGATATGGAGGAATGGGGCTGGAGCGTAACCTGGAGCAGCACCAGGGTTCAGGGGCCCAGTCGATCCGAGAGCAGAGGGCAGGCTGAAAGGAGGCGGCGTGCCGGCGTGGAATCCCTGCTTGTCAAACGTCTGCACGGGAGGCGAGGGGGACACGTCAGACTGGCCTGAGCAGCCCCACCGCGGCCAGACAAGAGTGGCCCAAACGCACATCATCCCAACCTTTCACCAACCCTGTGAGCAAGCCAAGGCACACTGAACATCTGTGAGCGCTTTAACAGATGAGTTCCAGCTCCTGTTCTCACCCATACTTCTGCACTAATGCCTATGACGTTTTATTTTATTTTAATCTTCATAAGAAATGCCACAGCCTGCTGATCCTGACACCAACTGGCCTGGGAACAGCCCCAGCCGCCAGCACTCAGGAGCAGCCATGGGCCTCAGGCCATGGGGGAGGAGGGTCCAGCATTGCTCACCTGAGTCTTATTATAGACTGAGCCACTGATATCAGGCACACCTGTGTTACTTGAGGTCACAGAAACACCTGGAAAACAAAAAAAAGCCACCAACAATGAGAAAGTCCACCACCAGCCAACGCAAGACCTGCGTTTGCCTCCCAGCAGCTCTGGTGGCCTTAATGGACGCCCCTTTCTCTGCAGCCGCTGCACCACACGTCCTGCTGCTGCTGCCGGCCAGCCCAGCGGGGTTCTTGGTGCTCTCAGACCCACAGCACCCCACACAGGAACAGAAGAAAGGGCTCGGTTGCTTGCTCCCACTATGAAGCAGGAAACCAGCCCACGTGGATAAATCACTCATGTCCACAACCCTGTGGTTGGATTCAAATGCACTTCACCAGGCAGCAGCTGGCTGCACCGAACATTCATTTAAGCTCACAAAAAGCCAGCCCTCCTCTAGGATTAGGGACACATTTGGCTCTACTGCAGCATTCAAGAGGTTTCCAGTAATGAGCTGAGCAGCGAGACTCAGCATCTGCTACACATGTGAGCCCTTGGCCTTTCACGTGCTGCAGAAGGGTGAGGTGTGCAATGCTCCTCTGCCCCAAGAGAATGGGTATCACTTATTCAGGCTGGCTTCCACCTGGACCGCATGGTGCTACAACAGGCTGAGAAACACTCACCAGAGAGGTGACTCATAAACCAGCCACTTAATCACAGTCTTACAAAGACCGGTTCCAATCATTTCACTCGGACCAGACCAAAACCTGCAGTTCCTTTGGCCAGTGCATCAGAGGACTGGACTCGGTGTGCACTGCTCTAAGGTTGCACCTTTCCTAGGACATTGCTGCTCTTCGGATTGCTCCTCCGCAGAGCAGAGTGTGATCAGCTCCTGGGTGAAGGCAGTCCAGCTAGTGTTTCAAACGCACAGCAAATGCTTGGTATTTGCTTAAGCCCAAGGATGAACTAGTTAGTGCTAAGCAGTTCAGGATACATTTCTCAGGTCTACCCAGCATGTGTAGAATAAAGCTTTCATATAAGTTGTATAAATTCTTCAGCCTTTGTAGTCACAAGGGAAACATTTCCAGGCAACAAACAACATGATGAGTTACAGGGTGTACAGACAGCAGCTGAAACAACAGCCCAGAGATGTGTGAACTGCCCTGCACCCCTCTAACACACGGCTATCTTGGGTACCTACCAAGAAACTCAAAATCTAGTCATCATTTGGCAGAGGATCATTTCAGCAGCAGCACCCAACTGCTTAAGCTTCAAAAACATGGCACTGCTGCAGGACTGCTGTTCTTCAGCAAAGAAAACGTTGGCAGAAGAAACAGCTCACCATCTCTCCCATGTGTAACTGGACAAAGCTGCGCATCAGCCACACAAATCCTTACGCAGAGTTCAGCCATGAAGTTTAGAAGAACATTTGGGCCATTAAAAAAGCATTTCATATACGGGAGATGGAGAAACAGCTTGGCTTATGACCCTGTTTAGAGCTGGCTGCTGTGTTGACTGCACAGCACTGGCAATACTGGGAGTCTGCCCTACTAAATCCCACTCAAGAGCAACCTCAAGTCTCATGTGTTACCTTTCCCAGGTCCAGTGCCAGCAGATTTGTTTTGTGCTTGAGATGACCCACTGTAGCCTCCTTTGCTGTAATCTCCAGCTGCCGTTCCCTGCGTTAAGTCATCATAGCCTGCTGGTGTGTACAAGACAAGGTGTTACAGTGTGCAAGCAGCTCTGCAGACACTCCTGTGCAAAGCGCAGGGGTAAGCATACCTGCTCCATAGCCGTGCTGCCCATAGGCATTCGCTTGCTGGAAAGGGGTCGACGGGGTGTTCAGGTTGACTCCATGCTGCTTAGCAGACGCCGGAGGTACCTGGACAAAGGAAGGGAACAAACCGTGCCGTTAACTGGGCACACAAAATGCGAGCTTCCTCTGCCATCTAGTGGGGAAAGCTCCTCCACCTCACATGGGGAATCCAGCCTGCAGCTGGGAGCGCTGGGATGGCTGGGACACAGCACTCACGGCTCCAGCAGGAAATTGCTGTAGTGGATTGGTGCAAGCCCCAGGTGTTCTGCTAGAGCCGCCCCTCTCTCAGTGCCGTGCAACCCTGTCTCAGAACAGGCCACGTATTTCTTTCATACATTGACTGTAAACAGCAAATTCTTACCCAAAAACCCAGAAAGGAGCAACCACAATGCTCTTCCTCCAGAATCAAACAAAACATCAACTCCCGCCTGAGGCTGTTTCATAAACACAGTCCAACAAGGCAGGCCCTAAAATAACTCCTCTACTCTTCTGCACAGAGCATCACCTCTTCCTAAATAATGTTCTTCCTCTTGAAACTACCAGTGCTGCTCTCTGACTTAATGGGGTCTCCTTCATCCTCAAAAGGATTTCCTAGGCACTTTCAGCTCACTGACTCAGCTTTGGGTCTGCCCTTGGCCCTCCAGAGACTAGTACCGGCTTTCAGGAACACTGAGCCCATGAGCTGCAGCTCTCTGCTATTTACAGGAACCTGCACAGTAGTCCATGAGTTCTGGCCTTTTAAATGTCCTGTTTTCTCGGGGAAGGCACTGCAGCTATTTCCTCATGTTTGCATGTTCTTGGAGATCCCTTGCAGCCTGGGGAAGATGATACTACTCTGTTCTCACAACACACCACCTGGAGCACTGTGTCCAGCTCTGGGGTCCTCAGTACCAGAAAGACATGGACCTCTTCGAGCAGGTCCAGAGGAGGGACACAAAAATGATCAGAGGGCTGGAGCACCTCTCCTATGAAGACAGGCTGAGAGTATCGGGGTTTTTCAGCCTGGAGAAGAGAGGGCTCCATGGAAACCTTATTGTGGCCTTTCACTACTTAAACGTGTCTTGTAAGAAAGATGGGGACAAACTTTTTTACCAGGCCATGCTGTGATAGGACAAAGAGCAATGGTTTTCAACTGAAAGAGGGTAATTTTAGATTGGACATAAAGAAGAAACTTTTTACATCAAGGGTGGCAAGACACTGGACCAGGTTGCCCAGAGAATCTGTAGGTGCCCCATCATTGGAAGTGTCCATGGTCAGGTTGGATGGGGCTTTGAGCAGCCTGTTCTAGTGAAAGACGTCCCTGCCCATGGTAGGGGGGTTGGACTGGATGAGTTTTGAAGGTCCCTTCCAACCCAAACCATGCTGTGATTCCAAGCCACATAAGGTTTGGGCTGGAGAGCACAAAACGAGAGAGGTACGAAGGGAGGGTCACAGTTGAGACTGTCACACTTACAAACATGGTTGGCCCATACTGGAATGCACTGGGTACACCGGGCATGCCAGCATAGTAAGGTAACCCAGTGTAGCTGTACCCTGGGGGCAGGGTTGGGTTGAGGAAGGGCTGCTGAGTTGTATGGTGAGTCTGTGTCTGGTTCTGCTGTGGCTGGGCGAGTGTGGTAGCAGGAGCAGGGGAGGCAGAATCTCCACGGCCAAATTTTGTTACATCACCTGCGAAAGAAAGAATTGATCAGAAAAGCTACCAAAGCTACTCCAAAAATGGAGGATTGAAAGGATTCAAATCCTCTGAATTCAAGCAGACAACTATAGAAGGGAGGACATCCTACACTTGAAAACCTGCAGCTGTTCATGGGAAGAGCTCTCCCAGTCTCTGTTCCTGACAGCCACAGGGACATTGCCTGTTCATGGCACAGAACTCCACACCATGGCTAATCCACTGACAAAATGGAGACACCAATACTTACTCAACTCACATGGTCTGAGCAGATTCATTAGTATCAGATCATTGTAATAAAACGTGCTAAAAGCAAAAGTATGGTAAATAGCTGAAGAGCAAATGGTTGTGGGGTTAAGTGTGACTCTTCTGGAGGTTAAACTGATTAGCTAAGCTTCATAGGCTGAAAGCAAGTTAGGATTTACAGGCAATGATGGGCATATTCTTGTCAATGTCTGTTTATTTGTCAAGCATGACTAGTTAGATGTCTGGTTCCTCACACCACCAAAGTTCTGGAGACAGTAGCTGAAGGCCAGGAAAGCAAGGCTTGCATCGAGGGCCACCTTATTGAAGAAGTAGGAAGGAAATTCAGTTATTAACCCAGAAGCAGTCTCTCAAAAGAAGTGATTACGAAGCAAAAAAACTCTCAAACACCTGCATTTTCTACCAACCTACAAAGCACCCTGTTCGTATGTTTTTTAGGGAGATGACATATACCAATCACATCTATCTCATTCCCAACCAGTATTCCTTCATGCTGGTTACCAAGAAGTATGACAACACTTAATACCATCATTATAGGAATTATAACACCTATGGCTACAGTTTTCAGCTGTAATCAGATGGCAGTGGAAGACAATCACTGGCTGAAAATCTTGGATAGCATTAATGTCATCTTTGCACAATGATAACTGAAGAGCAA